TGTGCTAGTTGGGGACAGCCCCGCAGCCCTGGAATAGCCACAAGGCTGATTGAAATCCAGCTGAAAATCTGTCCACCTGCAGAGCCCGAGGCAGAGCTGTCCAGATGGGGGCTCCAGGGGGCCTTCATGGAGGCCAGGTCTCTRAGACTGGAGTCCCCATGTCAGCCATCCAGAGCTTCGCTAGACTAACAGCAGAGAAGCCTCGGAGTCCTGGGTCTCTGGATTTACCCAAGTCCCTTCCCCTCTCCGAATCCCCATTTTTAAGTGAAAATGGGAAATCAAGATACTTTGTCTAAAGGTGGTTTAAGGATCTCATGACGCCCCTTGGTACAGCACCCGGCCATGTGAGGACAAAGGGAACCACGGCTGCTGTGACTGCTGTGTCGCTGGCCCTAGAGAGGGGCAGCAGGGAGGGACTTGGTGTAGAACTCTCACCAAGGGGGAAGGAAAGTCCATTAGAACAGGTCCACTMGGATCTCCCCCCTGCAGCTGCGGGAGCATGGATTGTCTTGTTCACTTCATGTCCTGGGTCTGCAGGTGAACTGCAAAATCCTTTTTATTGAAAATTCATTCCATCTTCCACAAATGTTTATTGAGCCCGTGCTATTTGCCAGGCATGCAGGAGAGCGAGGATAAATGAGCTGCTGATCCTGCACTTACYGGGAGACGTGAGAAGGCAGAGTACAGATTTCCTATAGCTGTGAGGGAAAGCACTTTAAATACAGAATGCTGAGCGTTATTTACCTTAAAAAATAAAAATCACTGAGGGTCTACTAAGGGCCTCTCGTCACCTCAGTGAGTTGATGGAGAACTGGGAGCCTGCAAATTGGTGTGCTGAGTTCGTGTCTTCCAGCACCTCTCTCTCTAATGATGTAAATTACTAAATCATGTTTGATACTCATAGCCTATGAATTGTATTATAGTTCATAACTATCCACTAATTGTTTTGTACTATTAAATTTATATATATGTAATACTCATTGTACATATATGTTTATAACACTAATATAATACTGATCATGCTTTATTCTAATTACAATCATATATATTACATCTGCACATTACATAGTACACATAATGCTTATGTGTTATATGTACAATATATTTAATATATATTTCTTATACTTATTATATTTATAAATACATAATATTTATTATATTTAATTTAAATAGAGTCACACCTGCTTAATGATATTTTAGTCAACAACTAACATCATACAAGATGGGGGTCCCCTAAGACTGAAATGGAACTGAAAGATTCTTGCCACCTGTTGACCACGTCACCATCAAGACACCACCCACAACATGTTATTCGCTTGGGTCTGGTGTGTTGTTAGCCACGGTGAAGATAGCCACTCGGGGCCGAGATCTGGCGTGTGTATTTACTCTCCTGAACTTWGTGAAATAACATTTACCATTCAGTGCTAGGCTGTGTGGCCGGGGGCAGCCCCCCACATCTCCTGTTTATGGCTCTTTTTGACACAGTCCAGCATCAGTGAGTGGCATCGAGGTTTGTATAGTGCTCACTTCAATGTGCACACGACCGTCACCCCATGATGAGACCATCCAGGGGCATCTCCTGGAAGTACCTCRCAGGTAGAGCTGCATGGCTGTGTGTACGTGGGTGGACCAGATTACTTATGGTGGCTCTGTTTGTTTGTTTTTACCGCGTCTTTCAAATGGACATGGCAAAGCTCTGCTCCAGTTAGAGATGGCCCATGTTAATTAAATCTGTACTTCAGAAGGGAAGTCCTCCTTCTCTGTTGGTGGGAATGTAAATCACTGTCGCCACCTTGGAAAACAGTATGGAGGTTCCTCAAAGAGCTGGAAAGAGACCTRCCATATGACCCAGCAGTTCTGCGGCTGAGTCTGTACCCAAGGACCTGGAAGCGGCACCTGGAGGAGACGCTGCGCTCACGTACACCTAAGCACTGTTCCTGAGCGCCCTGCCCAGGACCCAACCCAGGTGTCGCTCATGGGTGAATGGAGAAGGAAGATGCGCTCCATGTGCAAGATGGAATGTTATTAAGCCGCGAAAAAGAGACATTCTGTCACTTGAGGCAACAGGCTTGGAACTGGAGAATATTGGGTTAAGTGAAATAAGCCTGCCCTCACCTTTACTGGAAGCTAAAAAGTTGATTTCAAAGGAGCCCAGACAGAAGAGTGGTCACCAGACCTGGGAAGGCATGCAGGAGGGAGGAACGGAGCGAGGACAGGCACAGAGGTGGAGCTRGAGAGGAGTAACTGCTACTGTCCCCTAGCACAGGGTAACTATGGAGAGCCATTCAGTAACTCTTTCAAAATAAATAGCAGAAAGGATTTTGAATATTTATTCCCAATGCAAAGAAATGACACAGGTCTGAGGTGAAGGACTCAATTACCCTGACGAATGGGGACCCATCATGGACATGTGTCAGAATGCCACACTGCGCTCCAAAAGTAAGTTCAGTTCCTGTGTCAGTTCTGATGATCACTTTTAAACCCATGCTGCATCCCAGCTCYACAAACCTGAACTGCCCCAGGACACTGACCCCGCCAGTTTCTCAAACATCCACTCAACAAGCTGCCCCAACCTCCTGCTGCGTGCCAGGTCCCGTGCCAGGCCCTGGGGACAGAGACAATGGAGGCACAGTCCCCGTGCACCTTGAGCACACAGATGGGCCAGCAGGCAGCCAGGGAAGGCTGTGGCAGCCACTGTCCTGGGGGAGGTGCTCCTCCCTCTGGCCTCGGGAGGACACAGGGAGGCAGCCAGGTCCTTCACAAGAGCACGGCCCTGATCCAGCCAGAACCAATGTGGAYCAAGAAAAAGAGATATGAAGAATATGGGGGTGACTCACGGGCTGTGGGGGGCGAGGAGTGCCAGGTGACACCTGGACTCCCATTTCAGTGGTGGAACCCATCAGTCCACTACACAGAAGGGAGGCAGTGAGAAGAGTGTTCTGTGTTGACCTGCCCAACCTTGAGCAGCTCAGAGCGTGGCCTTCCTTGGAGACAGGGTCTATGGGTCAGCTCTCCGACACTATCACAAACGCCTGAGAGAAATCAACCCCTGGAGAGAAAAGGTTGACTTGACTTTAACGCTCCGTTTCCAAAGTTCCAGTCCATCATAAATTGTCCACATGGCTTTGGGGCGCCTATGGCGAGACGGCATCAGGCCTGGGGCTCCAGGTGGAGCCAGATGGCTCATCTCATGGCAGCCAGGAAACGGGGAGAAAGATCCTGGGGTCCCARTATTCCCTTCAAGGGCRTTCTGCYCCAAACTGAAAACTCCCACTAACCTCCCGCCTTAAAGGTTCTCAACATTCGAGTAGTTCCACTTGGGGACAGAAGTCTTCCGCAYATGGACCTCTGGGGGACGATTCCGATCCAAACAATGTCAGGGTCTCCGTCCTTGGGGTGGCCCTAATCCAGTGTGAATGGCCTAGAGGGGAGGGGAGGTCACGAGACAGAGGGAGAAGATGTCCCTCAGCAAGCCCAGCAGAGACGCTGCGACAGAGGCTTCCCTCCTGGCCCCGRGAAGGAACCCATCTACCAACGCCTTGATTTTGGATTTTAAGCCCCCAAATTGTGAGAAAAGAAATTTCTATTGTTTAAGCTGCCCGGTTGGGACACTTTGCTTGAGCAGCCTCTTTGCCGAGGGTCACGGGTTATGTTTAGGGTCAGTGGAGTCTGATGGTGCCTTGGGAACATGCCAGAGTGGTAGCTGTATCTGCAGGTCTAAGACTCTGCGGGCAGCCTGAGACRAGCGGCGAGGGTGTGCAGGTCATTTCTGACACAGACGTCTCTCGCTAGCACCGTGTGACTACTACTTAATAGAAATTTGAAGAACAGTTGAATGAAGAAAAGTCATGCTTGCCCAAGAACAGAGGGCAGAGGAACTTCAGGGACACTGGAATCAATTCTAAGCTCCTTTCCCAGTTAGTACAAGGTTAGCTCAAGCCCCGTGGCTATGGAGCTGTAACCGTGACTCACAGGAGGCCAATTAACTGTAGACAGTTGCCATGCCGGTTGCTGACAGCTACCCTCACTAGCAAGGATGGAACCTTCTTTGTTCTATACAATCTGGGATATAAAAAAAAATAAACAAATATCAAAGCTATTCTTGGAACAAGAGTTGCAGCCTACTACGGTCTTGGGTTCACACCCATGTTCTAAAACCGCTGACCTCCAAGGGAGCGTGCCGATGACGTGTCTATTTTAGGTAGCGACTTAGAAGTCTGCTTAGCTTAAAATGTCAGAATCAGTAGACAGCACAGGATAAAGGAAAATGGCAATAACTGCAGTCAGGAGGTCTTGCTTTGAATTTCAGATGTGCGTCTGGAAAACGGGGTGACCTTTATTTTTCCGGGTGTCCTTTCCCTTCTCTGAAAAACAATGACAGGGAAGAGGCACCTGGATGACCTGCCAGCTCTGACGTCCTGTGAGTCTCTCCATGTTGCTTTAATTGCAACTGCTGATAAGATAACATTTCCATAAATTGACCTGCCACCCTGAATTATCCACCAACACCAAGACAGGAAAATAAGATGATGGGCAGAAATGAATACTGCACATGACTCTGGTAGGATAATTTTCCCTTCTTAAAATGGCAGATGGTATGCTGGAAACAGGCAGCGGTTTCAGAATGCATCTTAATTACCAGCAGATTGGGTTTCGCTAGAAGGTTTCTGAACACGYGTGGTCATGGCATTTTGTCCGATTACTTAAATTTTGACCTTATTGGAAGCGGATATGGAAAACCACCCACTCCTGACAGCATTTGTAATTTSCCCCTGACCCTTTAATACTTAAAACTCATGTTGACCTTTCCTGTCTCTGCCTGGATATCTCAGCTCTGGATGTAATAAGCCCCTAAGGGGAAAAGAAAAGATAATGAAGATTTATTGAGTATCTGTTCAGTGCCACATTTCGTACCAGGTCCTCAACCTGAGACCTATAATACCTCATTGAACATGGTAGCCCTAGTGTGTGACTCGCCTGTGTGTATATGTCACTTCCAGGGCCAAGCTGTGGCTCAGCTGTGTTCCACCGTACCCAATGTGACCGTCTTTGGAACGGCATCTACTTTCAAGCATGAAGCAATCAAAGAGTCCGTGACCCACCTCTTTGATCGAAATGCAGACTACGTGCAAGAAGTCAAAAGGTAGGCACTTGCTTGCTCAGGCTTAGCACTGCTCTTCTCTCAAACAGCAGCAGCATTGGCTTAAAGAATAGCTGATAACGGTGATAATAACAACTATGTACAGGGGGCTTGGTATTGCTAGCTCCAGGCCCGTGYTTCACACGCATTAGCTCATCCAATCCTCCCACAGCCCTAATCTTACCCCAAGAAACCAAGCTGTTAAAGAACTTGCGGAGGAATGTGTTAAGAGTCAGGTAGGTGTTACTCCACTGCCTTAGCACATCAGAGTTTATTCCTCATCCATTCACGTACCAGCCAAAGATGCACGTTGGATGGATCGTCTTCTGTAAGGAGACTCAGGGACTGGGCTCTTTTCACTTTATGATTCTGCCATTGTCTTGGGTCTTGTGTCCTCTGCTTCTCGCTGGCAGATGGAAGGAGCACGGGGAGGGCATGCACGAGGGGCTTCTGAGGGTCAGTCCCAGCAGGAACGCACATCCTGCTCCTATTTTTGCTCCTGCTCAGGTCCTGGGCCACACCTCCCTGAGAGCAATCTGGGAAACCATCTAGAGGGCAGCAGGCAGGCTGGCCCAGGGGTAAAGAGTGGAGCCCTGGTTCAAGCCAGGCATTTGACTTGGGGCCTCACACTGTTCATGTACGAGTTCTCTCTGAAGAGTGGAGCCTGTGCTAAGGTTGCCCATAGGAAGATGGGGCTGGGGGCACCCTAGCGAGGTTGCCAGGCGCATGCATATTAAGGAGCTCCTCAGAGCGGGAAAAGCTTATCTGTGCAAATCTAGGGATGTCTGGTCACCTGATCCAGTTATGGATATTGACAACGGAACACCCAAAGGGGAAACCTCCAAGAGCTAGCAAGGACTACAGCGTTGACGTGATCAGATTTAGGTTTTGCTCAGTCYCTGGTGGTGGGTCGAGGAGAGGGAGCCAAGGAGACCAGTCTTCTGGCCACTGCAGTCACCTGGGGAATGTAGGTTTATAGCTGGATCCACTTTCCACCTTTGATGCTGTGGCTCCTGATGGTGGCTGTGTGTACATGAATGTGAGAGAGTAATGTGTGTGCATATGTATGTGTGTGTGTGTGTGTGTGTGTGGGTTTGCGCATGTGAGTGAACAGGGAATCCTAAGGAAACCCAGCTGCCTCCTGGTTGCAGATGACCTATGTGGCTCATTCTGGCTGCTGCTTGGGGATCTGTGCTCAGGCTTGGGGTCTGCTCTGCTCCAGGAGAGGTTCAGAGTGGCCAGGAGCCACCGTTTCAGTGCGGCTTATTTTCAGCCCTACCTTGTAAGGTACACCCATATTAAGTAGCCTCACCAACCTCATAGCTAAGGAGCCATTTTCTCCAAATCACAAATTAAGATGGAAAATGAAAGACCAGGGGACCACAGAATAGGTTGTTGGAGGTGATGGATTTAGACCAACTTGGTGAAACTTRGGGAGTTTCTAGGAAAGGAAATCTTCCAATGGTCTGTTTTTAAATCTCGAATGTAGAAATTTGTATATAAYTTAAGATCATCCCGATATTCCAGGAGAAGAATGTTGACACGATAGAAGAGCTTTGAATCTAGACGTGGAACYCCCCCACCCCATTTCCAGATAAGCAGGCCCACTTTAAAGACGCCCCTCTGCCCAGCACCATAGCTCTCAGGTGGTTCTTCCACTTTTACCCTGAGCCTCTCAGGCTGCGGTCTGCAAAACAGATGAGAGACTACCACCAATCCCTTCCACCATCTTTCTTTCACCCCTTTAAGTGATTTTTTTTTCCAAGTACTGTCTCACTCTTTATGTGCCGAGTACCTGTGATGGGCTAGGGGCTGTGCCCAGGAGGGAGACCCAACAGTAACCCTTAGAGTCACTGTCCTTCTAGAGATTGAAATGTAGTTGCAGGGGTGGGGTGAGCAAATAAGACTCGAAAGAGAATGAATTGGTTTATACTTGTGATGTGTGTTCTGGTAGAGAAATGCAGAGCCTTAGTGGATATACACACACGGGGAAAAATCGGGTCATGAGTGGAAGAGCGAGACTTGGCTGAGAGTGGAAGGGTCCAGCCGTTGGCCGGGGGCTGCAGGTGCTGAGGCCCTGGGTCAGTTCAAGGGTCTGAAAGGAGGCYGGTGCAGCTGGAGGCAGCTGGAGGTGGGGAGGCTAAGAAAAGCGCCAGGCAGCTTTCCTGAAGAAGTGACACCCCCTAGCCAGGGACCCCATCTGCCATGTAGCTGCTCCGCCCCCTCCTCTCCCTGTCCCTGACCTGCTCCTCTGCACCAGGATCAGTGATTTCCACTGGTATCAGAAGAGCAGAGGCAACAGCACCTAAGGCCACCTCCCCACCTTCCTTCAGATACCACTCCGGCAGCTCACTCTTGTCTTAAGCAGAGACCCTGGGATTGGACTGGAAGTGACTGGGTAGCCACGGCCATGGTGGCAACCTGTGTCCTGGTCATCCTGCCCTCCAAACAGCCCAGAGTGAGACGAAGCTGCGGGAGCCACGCTGCCTAGTGCAGAGCCACGCACGGTGTCTGCAGCAGAGGGGACCCGGAGCCAGCTGCCCCACCCAGCAGAAGGGAACCGGCTCCATGGCTTAGGCTACACCCACCAGCCTGAGTATATTCCTCAGCCCCTAAAAACAGCTAATTATGACGACTGTCACATAATGGAAAAACACTCCTGGGAGCATATTGAGGRAAAAAAAAAAAAAGCCGTATTCCATGTTCCATCTATGCCTGCGTCCTAGCTTTGCACAAACTAGCTTTGCACGTAAAATGAAACGGAAAATATCAACTGCTAACATACATCACGAGTGTGGGCAGAGCCACTCTCCTTTATTTTCTGATCACAGAGATGGTTACGTGATTATGTGTGTGATGAACTAGAAAAAAATGATGAATTTCCTACAGTGAGAACTCTTATAAACCAGTCAAGCAGCACACCTCTTTTGCATGCACTCTCAGCCTTCAGCCAAATATTTTAAAGGGAAGAGGAAAAAATATGTATGATACAGACTTCACCTTCACCGCCTTCCGTCTGTCTGGGAGGAGAGCCGTGACTGCGAGTGAGCCGAGTTAGAGCGAGACACCTTGAGCCGTGTGCACCTGATGTAAGGGCTCCAGAAATAAAGGAGAGAGAAGATCAGAGGGGACCAAGATGGACAGCCCCTCAGGGACACTTGGGGGACAAGCAGGATTTCTGCAAGTGGGGAGGGTCCCAAGTAGGAGCTCTCGGGCAGGGCAAGATGGAGAAGAACAGCTKTCGGTCTCCTCCTGTTCTGCCAAGTTTGCTTAGACCACATTATGTGCACCTTACMCCATCCCTCAAGGCAAGAAACTACTCACAGGCATAGATGGGACACGGAATATGGCTTTTTTCCCTCATAGACTCAGAGGTGCACGAGGTAGGGACTCTAACCTGCCAACCTTTCCCTTGGTTAACCAGGGACCTCGAGGGAGCTCTGGGGCAGAAAGCATGCATTGGTCACCTTGAGGGTGATGATAGSTCCTCAGGTGTGAACCTGGGTCACAGCCGAGTTGTATACCTCCAATGTGTGCAGGTTTGGTGYGTCAGTTGTGCCTCAATAAAGCTATTTCAAAACATCTTTTCTTAAAAATCAAACATTGTAAACTTCCTTTGGTGGAAAGTGGTGCCCAGTATTATTTCAGGCTGTATTTTATTCATTCATTTATTCACACACTGTTGATTCCTGTGAAGGGGCCTCATGACACCATGAGGAGCCAGACACACACATCCCTGTGACCCAAGGCATCCAAACTAGTAGGGACAGATGGTTATAGGGGCAGTAGCAAGAGAGTAAAGCTAGCACCCGATGGGAAAAGATAAGGCRTTTGGGAAACACAGGTGAGCACCATCTAATTGGAAGCCCAAACAACACGGAGGAGCTCCGTTTTGTAAAGTAGACATTGTCTTTATTTTTCAGAGAGCCCAATGCATCCTGAGTTACTTGATTCCACACCCCTCCCTGTGGCAGGACTAAGCCCCATGTGGTTCTGGTTCCAGAGCCTGTGGTCTCCTCCCACCCACACTCACCCTCCCAAAGGCAGGTGGCTCGCCCCTGAGCCCATGARGAAGCCAGGCAGCCTGGGTGGAAGCACATGGCAATGTGAGACCGAGTACCTGTGATGGGCTAGATGCTGTGCCCAGGAGGATCCGGCCAGATGAGGGCTTCTCTCTCTCAGACCCACATGCATTCCAGGCTGATGGTTCTGCCACCGGATGCTGTCCCATGCATTGCAGGATTCTCAACCCGGCTCTCCTCTCTAGACGTAGTAATGCCTGCCCCTGTCCCAAGCTGAGACAATGCAAGATGTCTCCAGCCATCACTCATGGCAGGGTGTGAGCAAAACTGCTCCCAGGGAAGGACCCCTGGAATGATGAGTGTTTGGTGATGGCAAAAGATGAACTTGATGAGTGACAGATGGGCCAATGTCCCTGATGTACACGTTACAATTTGTGTACATGTACCTCTAAATGYGTTCAGTTAAAAATTAAGAGAAATTTTAAAGGGAGCCACAGGTTACAGGGACCATGCTCTGCAAAGCCCTTCAGCGGGGTTCAAGCCAGGTTATGTCAGAACAAAATCAGAACAAAGGGATCGCCTCTTGGCAGGTCGAGGGCCTCTCTCCCAGCAATGGTTCCATAGGAACTTGCCACCACTCGACAGAAATTCCTCCCTGATCCAYGTGGGTGGAGAGCCAAGAGGCAGCATTCACCATGGAGGGGCCGGGGGCGAGGGGAACAAAGGAAGGACAGATACAAGGGGCCGGATCAGCAATTCCAAAACGTCTTGCTGCTGGATTTGGCCCCAGAATCCCTGAGCTGGAGCTCTTTTGTGTTTGCTTTTTAAATCCACAGGGATTTTATGCCAGCAGAGAGAGCAGACAGAAAATTCCCTGTGGTTGGCCTCTGCCCCGAACCGCTCTGCTTCTACCTAATTATTGTCATGTACAGGTGGTTGGTCACCCTGGAAGTGGGGATTAGAAGGGAGGGTGGCCCGTGTGTCCCCGATGAGCTATTTGGCTCTGTTGGCGATTTTCCCGACGACGGCCTTGGAAGGACTCTGAGGGGCTGGCCAACATGAGCGGGTCCCCGGAGGGCCAGTCCTAAGGCTGGTGTGGACCTGGGACATTCTAAACAGACCCGAGTTCAGGTCAGTAAGGTTCCATTTCAGTGTGGTCCATTGGCCAAAGTCGTGGTGACAGAACGGGGATGCAGCACTTAGCCGTCTTGAAGCTCTGCCCTGAGGAACTCCCTACTTGGTGTGCACAAGCAGCACCTGGACCCCCATCCTCAGGACCTGGGAATGAAGCCTGCCTTGCTCAGTCCCTGCTAGAGCCTGCGTGGCTGAGAAGTGACAGTGGCAGTCACCCCAGGGTGGCCACAGTTCATCCTGCAAAGCCATTCTGTGCCTCTGGGCCCTCCTGGTTTCCAGATGTGATGAACTAAACCCCCACCCCCACCCCACAACCCCAACCCCCAATTCTCTGCAGTGAGCCCGGGAGCAAGTCACCTGACCTCTTCAGCCTCAGTTCTCCATCCATCAAATAGAGAGAACTGCGGCCCTGGACCCGGGCAGGGAGGAGGTAGGAATGGATGACTCTCAGGATCTCTTGACAGTGGACCTGGCCTGTACTGAGTGCTCGTGGATGCTCTTTCTCCTAGAAAGATCCAGGGCATCGGCCTCAGCTCTGCTGGTTTCTGGACTGGTGATGTCAGCCACCTGGAAGGCTGCTTGGGTCTATGGGTGGCTTGCTGGGGTTTTGAATATTCTTCTTTCTTGCCCTTTTCCTAGCCAAAAGACCCTCTTTAAGTCAGGCCATTCTGACCAAAGGTAATAAAAGCTGCTGTGGACCCTGTGCCCACCGTGAGCTAGGCTCTGTGCTCTGCTTGTGCCAGCTCTTACAAGTTTTGCAAAGTGCCTATCATCATTATCCCCTTTCACGGATGAGGAGGTCTTAGGTACAGAGAAGCTAAGTAAATCACTTGAGGCCACGCAGCAAGTGGCAGAACTCCATGCTTAACACTGAGGCAAAATTCATGATCCTAAGCCCAGTGCGACACTACCCCCTGGCCCCTGTCCACCCACCTCCGAGCTAGCCACTGGTGGTGGCAGCCAGTGTCTGGGCCCTTTCATCACAAGGCCAAAGTCCTGGCTTCTCATTACCATGGTTGGTGTCCCAACGCCTTCTGCTAGCCCAGGTCAAGCTGTTGTATTCTCTTGAGAGATGCCTTCCCTGAGTCACCTGGGCAATTCCTGCTCATCCACCAGCACTCGACAGTGGGTCATCTTCCAAAGCCCCTGAGGTGCTCTGTTGGAGCCTCTCTGTTAGGGTGGTCTCTTGCTACCTCTGTCCCCATCAGAGCTCGCCACAGACTGGGTATTTTATAAGGAACAGAGACAGACTCAGCTGTTGACATGGGCCATGATGCCCGTGTTGGGGTAGAGAAATTGAGATATCTGCTGATACAAATATTATAGCAAATAATCCCACAGACTCACAGTCCTGAAGAAAGGCTAGTCCTGTCTGAACGGAGCAACACCAGCCACAACAGGGGTCTCGTGGGCATCAATAGTTCCTCAACAATCTCTGGAWCCTGCCTGTTCTGCAGCCCTCTCCTGTGTAGTGTCTCCTAACAACAGAAACCCAGTAAATGTTTGTTAAATGCATTAGGAGAATCAATGGATGTATAAATAAATGAACAGAAAAGATAAACCCGTGTTGCTTGTCCAGTGGAATACAAATGTGTGTTCTCTCCGCAGCCTTCCAGCATTAAGGAARAGCTTCTCTATTTAACCCTCATCCTCTAAGAATCAGTTTTAGGTTATACCTAGAGACTGGGCAAGTAAAAGCTTGCAAGTTAGATGACAGTGCCTCTCTGCTGGACCAGTAGCCCCAAGAAAACTGGGAGCATGCTGGTTTCCTTCCTGACTCTATCTCAGCACCTTGGACAGATCCCAGCACAGGGCCTTGCTGCAGAAATAGAGCTCTTCAACTGGCTTATGGAATGTCTGCTCTGCAGCAAGCCCGGGCCACCCATTTTGTTTGTCACCTTGTCTCATCCTTTAGTTAGAAACAGACTAACTCCACTTTACAAAGGAGAAAGCTAAGGCTCAGAGAGGTTGAGTGGTGCAGCTGGTACCAGTGGAGCCYTCTGACTCCAGTGCCCACCATCCTTCTTCGATTCCAGGCTGKTTCTTGATGTGAGCCACCAGCCAGTTCTTGGCTACCTCCAGCATCTCTTTCACAGACAGTCCCTGGCTGACAATGGTTGGCTTCAGACCTTTTGACTTTACGTTGGCATGAAAACGATGTGCATTTAGTAATAATTGAACTTCCCATTTTGCATTTGGATCTTCTGGGCTAGCAAGAGGCAGTGTCMTAGTCTCTCCCARTGCTGGGCAGCAGCAGTGACTCRGCTCCCCCAGCYTGGTGATCAGAGGCCTTGCTCAGCTATGGCATCTAGGAGGTGAGGTGGATTCAATAACATTTCTACTCCAGCTTTTTTCAACTCAGGTTGGGTTTATCAGGAGGTGACCCCATAGTAACTCCGTTTGGTATCTGTAGTTTGTCTTAGAGGATAAACCCACCTCCAAGGCTTCTCCTAGGTCCCTCCCTCTGCCTGATCCTGTGTCAAATGACATGACCCAAGAAAAGAGAAAGCTCTACAGTTTGCTTCCTGACAGCTCTCCATCTTTTGCTTTGTCTTCTCACCATTTAGAATCTCCGCTGAAGGTGTGGACATCGTCTTGGATTGCCTGTGCGGGGACAACACTGGGAAAGGCCTCAGCCTTCTCAAGCCCCTGGGAACCTACATTTTATATGGTGAGTGGTACACAGCAGCAGGGCATGGTCAGTGACAGGGACGCTGCCCTTGTGCCCAAGACCAAGGCTCTGAGAGATGAAATGTGCTGGTTGGTGTGTTGGGGTTGTAGGATGGCGTGTTTCTTTTCTTCTATTGATGCTGCTGTTAGTTGTTTTTAATGATAAACTTTGTGCCTACTTCCCCATAATCCTGTTATCTTAGAAGAGATAAAGCAAGGCTGAGCCAAGATAGTCCAAGATGAGTAGAACCTTTGAGGGACTTGGCCCACAGGAAGTGGGAAATACCAATTGGCTTCAAGGACATTAAGAAGATGTCAGCATGGAGGACCCATAGCAGGATGGAAAAAAGTGGGCAGGATATGGAGGCCTCTGGGGGATTCATCTCGATTGGTGATGGGTTGCAGAGAGCTGCCCTCCTTCTTCCGGACTWCCTGAATGTCCCATCAAGATGGGAGCCATGGAAGGATGGCACGGGTCTAGTCCCATCTGCGCTGTGCCTACCTCCATTTCTAGGCTCTTGGTGGTGGAGAAGATTGATGGAAACAGCTGGGAGCAAATCTTCTCCAACAGGAGACTCTAGAGCCCCCTCTTCCCTGTCACAGGCACGCAAGCTGATCTAAACAGCAGTCTCTACAAAAAGGCTCACATGAGGCCAGGTGTCATATTCCTAAGCAAAGGGATACTGGAGTTACCTGATGTTTGAGATTYTTGACTGCTCTGTGCCCTGTAGGTGCAATAGATATTGAACCTTAACCGTAGCTCAGGGGGAAAAAAAAAACACTCATTTCCCTGACATTAGCTGAGAAGCTGATAAAAAAGATATTTGAGGAATATAAGTATCTCTTTGTCATCATTAGATCATTATAACAGAAAGAGAATTGAGCTCATCAGAGATGGATAAATACTCCATAGCTGGTGTTTTGATAATTTCTATCATGACCACATATTTCCTTGGAAGTGGATACATAATTTATTATTATTATTGGTGAGARGGCTTCTGGGAATCCAAGGACATTATGACAAATATGGCGAATACCATGCAGATGGGTAGTTTCCTCGTCTTTCTTATCATTTACCAGGAATTCTATTTATATTTTTAATATTTATTTTTTAGTTATATTGGACACAATACTTTATTTTTATGTGGTGCTGAGAACCGAACCCAGGGCCTCACACGTGGTAGGCAAGCACTCTACCACTGAGCCACATCCCCAGCCCCCAGTAGTTCTATTTTTGGCCCAATTCCATGATGTCATTTTTGTGCAGTTCAGCTTGAATGTCATAATTATCAAATCCATTGCATTGATTCCTTGGTTACCAATTACTGCAAGCCTTGTGCCATATGCCTACTGGACGTTAGCCCATAAAGGCAGAAGCAGTAAAGTGGCTACTAGTTTACGCAGGTTGAATAATTAAGTTTAATATATACATTAYTTTGTCATTAAATAATTATTCTCTTAAGAAAAACTTACTTCCAAGTCTCTGGGTACAAGTCAGGAAAGCCACTGAAGAGGTACCATTATGGTATACCTATATTGTTAAGTCTCCTCCTCCCCTACCCGGGGGGAGGGTCCTTCCTCCCAGTCTCAGCATCTTACAGTAACTTCTCCAACTCCACCTCCCACCTGCCATCTGAGCCTTGCTTGTACAAACTGGCAAAACTAGATTCTCATTGCATTGTCTCAAGTGGCATTCACCGCTCTGCCCAGACTGCTCTGGGGCTGACCCACTGGTCACACCATTTCCTCGTCTTCTGAACCTGTTTTTAACCTCCTCTTCTTTCTTCTGTGCTTCTWTCTCCATCCATCTGAATCCCCCTCCACCACCTCGGTGCCCAGGCCAGGTCAGCGCCCTGCGCCTCTCCCTTGTTCGGGAATCGCATTCAGACCCATAGAGCAGCTTCCCACCGTCCCTTTCTCAAAGAGCAGAACCTGGCAGATGTGTCAGCAGTGCACCATTTCATTAAAACACTTGCCTTGGATGCCCTTTGTTACACAGTTTTCCAATGACATTAGTCACCATGAGAAGAATCTCCATTTTCTCTTTGATCCAATGACACCTAGTTAAAACAGTCAACCTGACGCCCAGCTCCTATCCCTTCCTTTTTAAGCCATTGCCAGTTGGGCACCAGACAACTGTGGTCCTTCCAGGTGTAACGAGTGATGCCCATTTCCATGAACAAGTGCCTGATTGGGGACCCTTTCATCTGCAGGTTCGTCCAACATGGTAACTGGAGAGACCAAGAGCTTCTTCAGCTTTGCTAAATCAGTAAGTACCTGTGCATGTCTAACAGCACCGTGCTGGGGGGTGGATTTGTATGTTGTGAGCTCCTCCATCGGAGACGCTGACCGCTCCTGCTTGTCCTTTATTTGCATCATTTATTTTCAAAAAAGCCTGCATCTCTGCCCTGCTCACTGCACCCAGGCAGGACCAGGGCTTGAGCTTCTTTTATCTGAATGAAGTCGAGAGGTAGGAGTGCTGGGAAACTCAAGAAAGCTTTATTTTTATTTCAACAGAGACTACTGAGGCATTTGTGTTTTTAATCATAAGTCAGAAATGAACTTAGCATTAGTGCATTTTATTTGCTCCCGGGAGGACCAGCCTCTCAGTTTGGCCACTTTATGACCAGGTCTCTTTGTGTGCCTGAGATTTTTCTGTGTTTTCATCCTACTATGTGGGATCCCATGACTTTATCAAGCTCTGAATACACAATTGTTTTGTCTGCCATTGAGAAACCTCCTCTCTGGGCATTTGCTCCTATTGGATGCCTGGAGGGATGTGTGTTCCTGTCTAGAGCTATGCAGTGCTAGACATTAGCAAATTTGGGCTTCTTCTTTTATTTTTACTCCCCTCCACCCCCAGAGCAGGGACCTGCTGCTTCTCACAGTGCTTGCTGTGTGCTTCCTCCCCAGCCCGATGGCTTCACTTACTGTTATAAGCATTTTCTTGGTGCCTACTGTTTGCAACATTGTGCCAGGCATCCAGGAGTCACAGTGCATAGAGAGGTGGCTCTCCTATGCCAATAGGAAGGCAAAGTCAAATTAAGACAGACATAATAATAACGTGATTGATGGCTCTCCAGCATCAGAAGGGGATTGAAATAGGATGYGGAAGAGAAAACAGCAGGATGGGGCAGAGGCATTTTGAATAGAGCGGTCAGGGAAATCCGTGGGAAGCTGAGAGTCTGTTCTATGTGCGGCACTACAGGGATGTCATGTGCTCCCAAAGAGCCAGCACCAGCTGCCAGAAACTTTACCCTGAACCTTCCCTGATTTTGGGAGGTTCCTGCTCCCTACAACTATGAGATTGGAATTAGAGGGCTTCGTTCATTCTCCATTGAGGCTTTAAAATCTGGGTCAGGGATCATCTAGGCTACAGGATTTGCAGGAGGAGCAGGGGTGGGGCCTATCTCTTCGGGATGCCATGTTCCCGCATCCCTGAAGACAGACTTGGTACCACGCACASCTGTTTTATTAATGTGGCTGTAAGTAATGTGATGCTGACCGACTGCTGTGGGTTACCACACATTAGATGCAATTGTAAGAAAAGCGTTTTCCCTTCTCCACTAAATGCACAATCACAACACAGGACACTAACAAAATAACTGCAGTGTGCTCACACTCAGCGAAGGCCCTCACGGACACACAGCTAGGTGATTAGGGCAGCTAGGGTGGAGGTAGATTCCTTTGCGCATTATGCTTTGTAGCTGAAGGYTAAGAACAAAGATTAACCCTCTGAGCCCTGTGTTCTCAGAGGGACTGGTTTGATGCTAGTTGATTAGAAGTAATTTGAAGAGGGTATTACAAAGAATGGAAGGAGAACTTTGCTTTGAAATATTCTTAAAAAAAAAAAAAACTCTTAAATCTATAGAGAGGTGTTGGACTTGTACCCGGATTTCTCACTCTGCCTTCTTAATTATGTTCCCTCTTAGAACTTCACACTCATTCTCAAATATGCTATTTGCTTTCGGGCCATAAAATGTGATGATACTCACAGATGAGGGACAAGCCTAGAGCACAATCTGACTCCAAACTCACAGCTCTTATTCTCTAAATCCAAACATCCCTTTCAAATTAAGGTAATAAAAGTTGTGCTTCTAGGGCACCTAGCAAATGTCAGGTACCATTCTAGGCACCTGACAYGCATGAACACAGTTACTCCTCATCACCGTGCCATGAGGTTCAGAGAGGAAACCCGGCACAGATAGGCTAGGTGACTCCACTAGAGTCACACAACTAGTAAGTGGCATTCAGCCCAAGAACTCTTAACCACTAGTGTGRAGCAGTTGTAGATTCTGCAAGCATCCCTTCCATAAATATTCCTTGAGACATGCATCAAGTTATTAATCATTTTTCTACCTTTGCTTTGTAAAAAGACATTCGTTGTCAATATGTGACTCTTCTAGAGCTGGTCCTTGCCCTTGCTGAAGGGCGCGGTACAGTTTCTGAACCAGAACCTCAGTCCTGGTTTCAACCTAACACGAGTCTCCCAACCTAAATAAATCAAAATCTGTCTGGGCACAGTGGCACACCCCTAAAATCCCAGCAATTTGGGAGGCCGGAATTTTAGGATCTCAAGTTCAAAGCCAGTCTCAACAACTTAGCAAACCCCTATATCAACAAATAAAAAGGACTGGGGTTGTGTGGCTCAATGGTTAAGAACTCCTGGGTTTAATGCCTGGTACCAAAAAAAAAAAAAAAAAATGAAGTGAAACAAAATAAAAATAAAAATCTTTTACTTTTGTAAGCCTCTTCAATTCTTTTTGGAAACGGGAAGAATCCAAATAAGCACCTTGATAACAAATATCATGAAACTTATGAATGCCCATCACATTTCTGCTTGCATTCTGTACTGAAACCTACAGTAAACATTTTACCTCTTAAAACCCTCCAGAAACTAGAAGTTTGAATTTCTAGCCTACAACTGGCACCAAAGGCATAGCAATTAAGTCAGCACAGAGTGGCTGGATGGCCATTTCTGCAGGTTGTTAAGGACGATGGGCTTGTGTTGRTGTCTCATGGGGAGCCTGGAAAAGAGACAGCCACAGGTACCAGCTGTGTGTGGCCACCCAGGTCTTCAGTCTGGGCTTCTCCACGTCAGTGCTGTTGGTTTTTTAGGGCTGGATCATCTTTGCCATGGAGCTGTCCTGAGCATCACAGCAACACCCCCTCGACCCAGTAACACAACCAAAAATATCCCCCAACATTACTTGACGTCCCTGATAGGGGGCAAAACTGCCCCTAGTTRAAAACCACTAGGAAATTCCCAACCCTTCAGCTTCACTGCTCTTTACATTCTTCCTTCTGTGTAAGTTACCCCCACTTGCTCTTCTTTCTGTGACAGATTCCTGCCCGCCTGTCTGGTATAGCCCTGCCATTCTCCCCCCTTAAGAAAGCTACACCTGCAATCACAGGGGTCACCCCACCATGCCCCCCAATACCTCTTCAACTTCTGCTTCACCAACCCAGGTAGYTGCAGGGCCACTGCCTAAGCCAAGTATTGTATACCTTATGCTTCCGGGAAGCCATGGAGGACAGATTCCGCCACTATAGTCAGTRGAGAAAACAAAGCCCAGAGCGTAACGGGGAGTAAGTTAGGATTCAACTCCAGAGCCAATGGTTCCTATCACGTTCCTAACGTTTGGACTGTACGTGGCCCAGTACAGGTTGAGTATCTGTACCCAGAATGCTTGGGGCCAGAAGTGTTTCAGATTTGGGATATCTGTTTTAGTGTTGGAATATTTGCATATAACATAATGAGACCACTTGATGATAAGACCCAAGTCTGTACCCAAAATTCATTTATGTGTCATGTACACTTGATAYACAGAGTCCAAAGAATATTTAATGTTTTAGTATTAGTGCACCTGCATTTTGACTGAAAATTGTTCCATGAGGTGAGGTAAGGTTTTCCAAGTATGACATCCTGTTGGCACTCTGAAATTTTCAGAYGTTGGAGCTTTTTTAGATTTCGGGGTTTGAGACTTTCAACCTGCAGTTGGTTTGGGCTCTCCCGCCTAGATCCTGAGCTTAGCATGAGCACTGCCATCTGCGGTATCCTGTGCACTCCCAGCACTCCCTGATGAAACTGGTGCTTTTAAAAAGGCCCAGCGAGAGCTGTCTGTGGCAGCTGGGATCAGCCCTCTGCTGCCCCGTGGAAGCTGACAGCCTGGGGTGGGGGCAGATGTGGCCTGATGTTCGGTCTCCTAACCCAGGGCCCGCTTCTCTTTCAGTGGTGGCAGGTGGAGAAAGTGAACCCCATCAAGCTGTATGAAGAGAACAAAGTCATCGCGGGGTTCTCCCTCTTACACCTGCTCTTCAAACAGGGCCGAGCAGGCCTCGTTCGAGGTGTGGTRGACAGACTCATAGGCCTGTACAACCAGAAGAAGATCAAGCCGGTGGTGGACTCCTTGTGGGCCCTGGAGGAGGTAAGAATGGTGCCCTTCCTCAGCAAACAGCCTCCTCTTTTTGGTCCAGGCGAGTTTGGGCAGACAGATACAGTTGTTTTTTTTTTTAACTGGTGATATTTCCCAGGTTGGTTTGTTGGAATTGAGTATCTTGAAAGTCATTGTCTCATAGCATAGTGCTTTTGATGTAAGTTCCTTAGTATTCCTCAGACTGTGTGCCCCAGCTCACCACCAGTGCCATGAACCCTTTCTTCCCAGGTAAGCTGCTGAATGTACATGGGTGTGTACAGTTCACCTGGGTTACGAGAGCGTGTGTGCACTGTTACAGAATCACGTACACAGTCACCTTGTGGGTATGTAAGAGATCAAGGACAGGGCAGACAAGACCTCAGAGCTGAAATGCTTTGTGTGCTGAGCCCAGATGTTTTAAGCCCCTGGGAGACATTGTTAGCAGTCGTGATGGATGCTGTAATTCTCGCTGAATTGCTAGGTCTGCTGTTGGATTGAGTCTTTTCATTAACGCAACGGCCAGAAATTCTACTACTTGGAAGCATCCTTGACCATGAAAACATTAAGAGCCCTGAGCATAACCTTTCAGGGTGCCRAGGCATGAACTGGTCGTCTTGGTTCATCTAAGACTTGCAGGAGGAGACTGGGTCTCAACAACCGTTCTGGACAAAGGAAGGTTCAGTTATGGCTGTTCCCTGTGAGGACCAAGGACAGGTGTGGCCTGGATTTCAGGAGGCGTTTCATTAAGATCTATCTAACTCAGGCGTCTGTGACCTTGGCTTCAGGGAGCCAAGAAGCCCCTGAAAAATATTTTAAAATATGTGGGGTGTGTTTTTCGTCTGTGTTTTGCATTTCTCGTGGAAGAGGTGCCTTATGGAAGTGCTGTTACACTCTTAGGAGTCACAGATGTTTTTACCGTCTGTAGCACACACTACATTCCATGGGACGGAATGGGTGTGTTTCTGGGAAGAAACTGTTGTACTTGCCTGTTGGACTAAGTTGACTCAAAGGCAGTGGCTTCTCCAAGCACAGAAATCTCCCCAAACGGCTATGTTGAGAGAACTGTGTAAGCAAAGATGACTACTAGCCCTGGTTCTGTGGACCAGAAATGTGTCCATGTATCTCTCCAGCACTGATGTATCACTTATGGTCTCAAACCCAGCCAACAAAGGATTTTTTTCCTTTTATTGGTGTATTAGAGTTATACATAATAGTTGAGTTCATTTTGACATAATTATACATGCATGGAATTTAATTTACTCCATTTTAGTCCCTGGGATCCCTACTTTCTCTCCCCTTCTCCCTCCTACTGGTCTACCTTCCATATATCTATATCTATCTATCTCTATTCATATAAACACATAATCTTTTTATATACACACATATAAATATATACATAATATTTTTAATACATATATATTTTTAGTTGTAGTTGGACACGATACCTTTATTTATTTTTATGTGGTGCTGAGGATCGAGCCCAGCGCCTCCCACGTGCTAGGTGAGCGATCTACCACTGAGCCCCAGCCCCAGCCCTTTTACATTATCTTTTTATGCAACTGTTTTATCACATAAAATTTTAAGTGTATATATACATATATATATATATATATATATATATATATATATACTTAAAATAGTATAAGATACTTGTCACCCTGATTCAACATCTGCTAGTTACAAGCAGTTTTTAGTATTTTTAAATTAGTGCATTATAGATATGCATAAAGGCGAAATTTGGTGTACTGTTCTCATACTTACGTAAGATAGTTTGATTAATTTCATTCTACTGTTCTACCCTTTTCCAGTTCTCCTTCCCTTCATATCAATCTCYTTCCTATGCTTCACTGCTCTCCCTTCTATTTCCCTGGGGTTTCCTTCCTGGTCCCTGACTTGCCTTTTGGTCTACCTTCCACAAATGGGAGAAAACATCTGATCCTTGACTTTCTGGGTCTGCTTATTTCACTTAGCATGATATCCTCCAGGTCCATGCATCTACTGGCAAATTTCATTCACAATTTCATTCTTCTTTACAGCTGAATAAAACTTTATTGTGTATATAGACCACATTCTCTTTACCCCTTCATCTACTGACAGGCACCTGGGCTGGTTCCATAACTTGGCTATTGTGAATTACACTGSTATAAACATTGATATGACTGTATCACTATAGTATGATGATTTGGGTTTTTTAGGTACATACTGAAGAGTGGAATGACTGGGTCATATGGTGGTTCCATTCTTAGCTATTTCAGGAATCTTCATACTGCTTTTCAGAGTGACTGTACTAATTTGCAGTCCTACCAACAATGTATGAGTCTACCTTTATCCCCACATCCTTCCAGTATTTATTATTATTCGTCTTCTTGATGGTTGCCATTCTGACAAACGTGAGAGAAAAATCTTAATGTCTTGTTGATTGTATTTCTCTGATGGCTAGAGATGTTGAACATTCATTTTTTTTTCATATATTTGTTGTCCATTTCTTTGAGAAATGAAAAGACCTTATTTCTTTTGATAAAAGAAATACATCCTGATTACAGGAAATTCCCAAATTAACCAAAAACATAAGGAGAAAACCAACCGCAGGTCCACATTCCAGAGAAGGATAACGTCGTTAACATTTGCTTCACTTCCTTCCAGTGTTTTTTCTAATGCAGGTGCTCACTATGATTCAATTTATTGCTAAATTAAACCAGTTAATAATGCATGCTTTCTGCTGTGTAATTACCAAAGTGGTTAGCCTGTTGTAATGATCTTCTTGAAAATGTTTTTAATTGAATGAGTCAGACATCCATATGTTCACCATGTCATCTCAGTGGAACGGGGAAGGACTGAGCTGCATGGGTATGGGGTTCCGGTGTCAGGGAGGAGAGAACATCAGAAATAGTTAAGATGAGGGGGAGGAGTTAGTTCATCCCTGGGGCAGAGAAGGGACTTACGCCTAAACTTAGTGTGCAAACGGCCCCAGCAAGTCTAGTGGTATTAAGTGAGGATTGAAATCCAAGAGGGACTCCTCTTGGCACCGTGGGTTCTCGTGCTGGTACCTGAAATCTTTCCTAGGTCACAGTGGTAATTAAATCACCAAATACTTATTAAATGACTGCAGTGTGCCCAGTACTGTGCAGATGCCAGAGACACAATGGCAACCAGATGGTCAAGTACCCTGGACTTCATGGACCTTGTATTCAGGACAGTTGAAAGGGGCAGAAAACACATCATGGAGGTGGACAAACACAGGCAGGGTGATGGCCAATTGTAATGAGTTCTTGGAAGGAGATAAGTCAGGATATACATTGGTGAACTGGTGGAGTGGGAGACTTGGTTTCCACATGAGATTTTCATATTCTCTCTCTCTCTCTCTACACACACACACACACACACACACACACACACACACACACACGCCTTCTGTAAGTATATCTGAGCTTTATTCATTGAAAGATTTTTTCATCTCCCAAGAATTAATTTTCTCTTGTTGGTTTGATATAAGGCCCACTGAGAAGGGGTGAGTGAGTACAAAGAAGGAAGCATCTTGAAGTGGTGCCCTTTGAGCTAGGATGTGAAGGTGGCACAAAACTGAAGGAAGAACATTTAAAGCAGAGAGACCCTCGAGAGCCAAGAGGTGAGCAAGAACTGTCCTGGAGAGTTCCACAGGTGTCTTGTGAGCCAAGGAGGATGCCGTGCAAAGAGCCTGAATAGGTCATCAAGGAAGGGCCAGCTAGGAACCGGGATTTACTCCGAGTACCAAGGGAGGCTGCTAAAGGGTCAACGTCAAGAAGTGCTATGCCTGTCCCAAGAGCATCATCCACCAGGGAAGAGGCTGAGATTGCTGGCCAGGAACCTGGGCAAGTCCAGAAGTCAGATATGCAGGGAAGACCCCATCTAGCTAAGGAGTGGGACAGGCACACTGAAGCACAGATCAGGAAGCTCATGGCAGATTGCCCAGCTCTCCTTAGCAGGGTCAGCAGGACTCATCACAGCCCTCACTGCTGAGGACACAGGCGCTCCATGCCTGCCATTCCTCAGTCAGGACCAGCGGAGCACGAGTGAGCTGAGGATGCAGAGCAGGACCCTTGGGACCCGGCTGGAGCTTGCATCACTGAGCTGTGGGCTGCGTGCAAGGCAGTCTGGAACCCCTGGATCCACACCTTCCTCCAWCTCCACTCAGTGCTGTTGTCTAACCTGGACTCCCTCCTACAAGGAGCCTTCTGACCGGCCCCTCCTTGCATCTTGCCCCTCTCCGGGGCATTCTCTGACCAGCTACCTGCGTGGGCTGAACATACCTAAACCAGATCATGTTCCACCCTCATTAACACCCCAACCCAAGGCTCCCTTTTGAGCCTGAAATAAGAGTCTAGATTCCTTACCAAGGYCACAAGGCCCCGCCTCCTCTGATCCCTGCCCATCTCCACAGGCTCCTTGTGTCTACCTCCCTCCTCCACCCAAGCTTCAGCAGTGCGAGGATCCTGGTCCTTGAACCTGCCAGGCCTTCTTGGCTGGAGCCTCGGAACCTGCCGCTTCCTCCTCCTGGTATTTGCCAATTGGTTTCCTTCCCTTCTTCAACATCTCAGCCTCCATAGGACCTTTACAGAGCGTCCTTCTCTAACCCCACCTCTTAAAAGAAGCCACCTCTGCGCTGGTCATTCTCTCCCCCTTCCCCCTGTTTGATACTCTCCATTGTCCTTATCACTGTTTGAAGTTACCTTGTGCATTTAGTCACTAACTCGTTTAGGTTCTTGGCCCCCTTCCACTAGATCGTGATCCCCATGTGAGGAGACACTCACACTATGTTTCTCCAGACCCCTGTACCTGGCAGAGCAGATGCTAAGTACATCCTGCATGAATAATTAAGGAATCCCCCAACACTCAGAAATATGACTCCTTGGGTATTTTCTATACTTGATAATAAATGTTTAATGAATGAATGAGTAAATGAAAGAGCAAGCTATACTATAAAAGGTATTATTACTTATAGGCAAGTTAAAAAGTCATATTTTCTTAACCTGGGC